AGCTGCGCTGGTAATTGCGGTCTTCCTGGATGGGGACCCTGAGACGGGCCACATCAATGGCTGGAGACATTGTCAGACATGGCCCAGTCGCGACCTCAATGGCGCTCGTGTATCCAAGCTATTGCCTTCAACGCATAGCTCCTTTTCCAACCCCCCTACTTGACAGCCCAACAAATTTATCAGCTCCCGCCTGCAATGCGCAGCTACCTACCCCTCCCCTCCCCCCCAAATCATCGGTGAACGAAACTGCGGCAGCTGCAACTACTGTACGACGAGTACGCGGTTATTACAGCTCTTAAAGGTCGCTCACTCTACGTTAATGGTTTACAGCCTAGCTGGGTAGACTTCGACTATCGCTGTCGACCGTATTGCGACAACCACCCGATAATCAGTGAGTTCGGAGTTCCGCCGGTCTATTCCCTAAGTTACAGAGGGAGGTAGCGGTTTTCTCAATAGATTCTTACGGACTCACCACATGTGTTTTGTTATCCTAAATCCAACTCATTCTTATCTTAACTGGTATTTTCGTAGCTGTTGAGTCTGACGAATTGTGTCAGTGTTGTTCCCCGTTTATTTTAAGCACCAAACCGGTAGTTTGACCATCACAATTATTGAGGACAACGTCGCGAAGACAGTATAATTCGTCTGGGTAATTGCTGCAGATAACTGCTGTCCCCACTCCAGAGCCTTAGTGTCTGAAAACGATTCACTAACAAGGAACACAACAGCTTTGTTGCGAACAAGCGAGTACAAGGTTTACAAGGGGTTTCGCAGCATTCAAAGCGTAATTTCGACCTTTGATCCATACTGTCCGATCAGCTTTGGATAAACGTTCATCATCATGATCTGCCTGAGCACTCGTCATCGTCGACCACCTGAACACACATCATTGTCAGTCTATTCAGTCAACTGCGTACTGTTACTCAGCGTGAGATATGAATACAACCTACTATCTCTTCACTCTAATCAGGGCATCTTGCATCCACGATCATTTATGTCATTCCAGACGAATGTCTTTAATGGACGAGTTTGTCCACAGACAGCATTCATCACCACGTGTTTGGTTTCATTCTCTTACGTTGTACTGTCTGATTCCTTTGCAACCACATTCTCTCTCGATTGTCTTATCTGCTGAGGTTTCCTTCCTTAAGTGGTCTTAATTGCCACAATATCATCTAAAGAAGCATCATTTGGATCCATTACTTTTATACCTTCTCGGTTACATACACCTCTGCTTGATCAGCTCAGTAAATGAAATTCAGTCTTTCACAGAGTATTCTAGATGGTCGTATTTATATGGGTATCCCACCAGGGAGAACTGGTTTCCAGACGTAATCTGTTCTCATATTTCCCCCTTAAACCTGCCATCAGGAGGCGCTTTGCGAAATGAACGATGAACTGCAAGAGAATGCTCGCGAAACGGAACGTGAGTTACGTGAAGAAATCGAACAGGGACGAGTAAAGATCGGACAGTTGGCACGGCATCTCGATGCCACTCGTGAAACGGTCGCGGACTACGAGAAAACACTGGGTAAATTCCGTGACTTGGTGACGGAGCTGCAGGCACAGAACGCAGATCTACGTCGTTCTCTAGCTGATGGGCAGCGTCAGCAACAAGAATCTGTGCAACAGAAGTCTCTTGCTCAAGTACCTCCCGAAACGCTGTTATCCACAACTTCTTTGATTTCCCAAACAAAGACAATGGCCAAGGTAGTTTATTGCTGTCAAACCTTTAGAATTCCTTTAAGTGTCAGCTGTTGGGTTGTCCAATTCATCAACTTTATCTCCCCATCCTTCAGTGATTGTCCGAATCGACGGTTAAGGCGGTTTGCTTTCGTTTTGACAACCACCACTTATCTTTGTCACTATCCAACTACCTAGACATATCCACTCAAAAGTTCTGACCGCTTTTATTGTGTAAAGTCTCATTCAGTGAACCAATACCTCCCATGTATCTAGACGACACATCCATCCATGAGTTTCTCAATACTCCCGGTGCTTTTGGATCTCAATGCAATTGTTTGACGCGATTTGTTGGCGCGAGTTCGGAACTGATAGGCTAATGTTATCCTCAACTCATTTCAGCTGGCCCTTCGTTAAACTCCGTCTGAGCTCTCCTCATTCCAAGTACATATACACAGACTCCAGGCTAAATGTCTGGTTGCCGGTGACAGCCTTAAAACGCACCTGTCACTGTCTATGCGGTTTTTAATGTATGCTGTTGAACTCAACGGTTACGTTGGTAGTATTACTTCTTCTAACGCAACCGGTGAAGACGATTAATAGTACAAACGTAAGATTTGCTTCTCAGACTCTTACATGTTCCCATTATTAGTGTCGTGGGGCTTCTAAACAAGCTCACTAGTAATTCGCGAATATACACTCATTTGCAAACTAATTTGGTTTTTCGAGAGACTCACCTGGAGCTCAGCTGTATCTCTCGTTTGTGATGTTCTCAGGCAACTGAATATGCTGCACCGAGATATCACGATACATGTATATATTTTTAATGTACTACTCATAAGATTGCTGGCTGTTGACGGATTTTCAGCAGGCTTATGAGTAGTACATTACAAAGCCCACTGATAAGTTCATGAGAGAACAGAACTCACCTCAAAAAATGAGCCATGCACCTGTCGAATACTCAAGAATCTCATCTGTCCTCGACAGCGAGCACTTCGGAGGGATTTTTTTGCGCTCACCTTTCGCTTTCGACATTCCATGGACTTGCCAGGAACGGACTCTGAGTTTTAGGTTTCCGGCATAACTCATCTCATAGAAGAAGCAATTAGGCAACGAGAGTCTACCAAACCTCACCGACTGACGAGGTTGAGCCTGTTGAATCGAAACCATTTTTCTCTGTGTAAAAGTTAAAATGAGGTTTAGGGCCATTATCACTGACATCTACGGTCAGTGACGGGCCACCTTCCTTCATCCAGCCTAAAACCAACACATACTGAACTACGAACCCTTATTGTAACCAGTTGTATTCGTCCACCCAACTTAGTCACTGCCGACAACTATGACCTAGGCAACGAATTCTCCGCCAATGACGTCTTTTTACCTACGACTTAAGTCTAAGTCCAGGTTCGATCGTTCTGCATTCATTTTACTTTTGCTTTGGACTGGTCGACTGGTAGAGTGAGCACGAATCTGGCCGGCTTTAAGTGAGACCGGAGAAAATAGCACAGCGGCTTTTTTAGAGTTGTCGCGCAATCCTATCTGATACTTGGCGAAATGAATGAATGCCACGGTCTCTCAGCCAGTTGATTTTTTTGGACAGCTTGAGCGCTGATTTCATGTCCGTCGCTATTTCGAATTGTAATAGTCCAGTGAGCAAGCGCAAACCACCAACCAAAGTCCGACTGCCTTGTTATCTGCTGGCATCGTGAATTCAAACGGCGAGTTAAACTGTCATAATGCAGAATTAGGAGCCTGTGAAGAAATCAGTTTAATAACCAATGAACAACGATAGAGTATCAAAACATTGTCAAAAATGATGGAGTTTCACGTCTACAGCCACATAAGTCATGAGTGCAACAACAGTTCTCAAGATATAGTAACCCATAACTGTGAGACCAGAGATAGTGATTGGGAAGCAGGAGCTCAAAAATTCAATTCATGCTGGAAAAACCTGTGTCCGAAATAAATGGAAAATTCAACAAGTTTCTGAGAGGGGAGAAAGGACTTGAGCCTTCACCTACTTTGATTCTAAGGTCTTTCCGTAGTGAATTATCGGTCG